CGCAGTGGGTGATAATGCTCGGTTCTCCTAAGACGTCCAGATCTGTCACTGTCTCTAGCGAGGAGAGAAAGGTGTGAAGGCATAAGAGAAGGTGCTGAATTTGAGAGGCCAAATACCCGGTGGTGGAAAGGGCCACCGAATCACTGCTGACTCATGGCGAAACCCCCGTGGGGTTTTCAAGGCGAGAGATGAGAGAGAGGTGGTTGACTATTGCCTGCCTCCAGGGCTATTTTGGGCAGGAACGCACAGGAACAGAGTTCCGGCTGGCTCCTGAGTTGGCCACGCCCAGCAGGAACTCATTAGCATAATAGGCCACACCCAACAGCAGAAACTCATTAGGATTGGCTACATTAGGGGTGTGTGGCCTAACATGCAAAGGAGTTCCTGCTAACACAAAAGTCCTGGGTTTTGACAACAAACAAGGTAAACAGAATAAGAAGCAAAAGGTGGGTGTGGCTGGATGACCACACTTCTGGTAACATGGGGGTGCGGCCTAATGTGCTAATGAGCTGTGCTGTCAGGGGTGTGGCCTATTGTGCTAATGAGTGTCTGCTGTTGGGTGTGGCCTATTATGCTAATGAGTTCCTGCTGGGCTTTTTCTACAAAAAGAGCCCTGCCTGCCTCTGAGTGGCAGCCCTGGACTAACTGGGTGGTCTCCCGTCCAAGGACCAGCCAGGGCTGACCCCGCTTAATTTCGGAGATCTGAGAAGATCAGCTACGTGGGGCCATCCAGGTCAAGGCGGGTCAAACACCTGCATGATTTCAGACGTCAGTTCTCTGGTCCTGCGCAAAACCTGCAGTCTCATGGCCTCTGTCACTGAACCAGGTGAACGTGACCGTGGAGAGCTTTGCATTTTGACAAGTTAGCGATTTATTCTTCCATTATGTGGGGGTGTCGGCATACTTAGTGCTTCAGAGGGTTTCTTTGGAACCCCCATCCCTCCCCCGCCGGGTCACTGCCCCAAAGAACTTAATAGTCTCCAGTTCTGAGATAGGGGAGAGGCGACGGAGTGAGTTGCCAGGGGTAACGGGAGATGGATGTGAAGAACTGGAGGTTTATACCTGCTTTGGCTTTGCCGTGGAAGGGGGAGAGAGAAAAGACAATTTGGAGGTTAAGGATCCCTGGGAAAAGGAGGGTGTTGAGGAGGGAGGGCGCGCGCCACGCAAGTAATCTGGGCGTAAGGGGCAGCGAGGGAAAGTGGCCAACGTTTGAGGCATGTGGCAATAACGCTAAAAAAGAACGTGGGGAATATTAATAGAGGAAACCCATCTGGCAGCTCGTCTTGGGTGGAATTCTAGAAACATATTAAAAAGGCTTTTTTAGACTAAAAATTTAAATAGATCCCCTTTGAGCCTCTCTCTCTCTCTGTGCACATGTGTGCCCGTGTGCAAGCGCGCACGCTCTCCCTGGCTGTAAAAGTATAGAAATTAATCAAGGGGTTGGGGCTTTGCAATTGCCGGCCCCAGCTGGGCTCTGCCAGGGCCGCCAGTTCGGGCGAGGCAGCGGCTGCCGCTGATAATCCTTTCCCCGCCAGCCGCGCATGATGAATGGGGGGAAGAGCCGGGTGTTTTGTTTCTGCACTCCCCTGCTCTCGCCGAGATAGGCTGTTTGGGGGGGCTTGTCAACATTATCTGCGGCGGGAGGCAGCGCTGCCATCCATCTTGCGTCTGGGGAGGGAAGGGGCGGGGAGGGGGAGAAGGTGGCACTGACGCTGGAGTCGGAAGAGGCTTGGGGGAGAGAATTCTTCGGGTAAATGCAACCGGTAATTTGCTAGCAAGGAGTCGCATTTCTGTTCTCTCCTGATCTTGTTCTTCGGGTGGGTGTGTTTTTCCTCTTAGCACTCCCTCTTGCGTGCACAGGCGACGGAAAGCTCCCCACTGAGTGCTGCCGTGCAGGTAAAGAGCCGTCAAGCCTCAGCGGACTCACAGTGACCCTGTCGGGCTTTCAAGGCAAGAGATGCTCACAGGTGGTTTGCCATTGCCTGCCTCTGCCTTTCTTGGTGGTCTCCCATCCAAATGAAGAAGAAAAGAGTTGGATTGATACCCCGCCTTTCACTCAGAGTCTCTTACAGTATCCTTTCCCTTCCCCTCCCCACAACAGACACCCTGCGAGGTAGGTGGGGCTGAGAGAGCTCTTTTGAGATCTGCCCTTTTAAGGACAGCTCTGAGAGAACTGGGACTGGCCCAAGGTCATCCAGCTGGCTGCATGTGTAGGAGTGGGGAATCAAACCCAGTTCTCCCAAATTAGAGCCCGCTGCTCCTAACCACTACACCAGAATGCTAACTGAGGTGGGAACCACCTGCCATTCAGAAGCCCCACAGGGCAGGGGCCTGGACCATGGGGCGGGCACCATGTTGAAGAACAGTCCTCAGAAGAGTTACAGGTGGTCCCCAAACCACCAAGCATCACTGGACGAAATTCTGGATTTGTGCAGAAGCTGGAGGCCTGTGTCCCAGGTGCCTTGTGATATTGTGGGCTCACAAGTAGGCGGTGCTTTTGTATTTGCTTTGTAGATCAGCACGGGGGGTGGAGTGGGAACCGTCCGGGGCTGGGAGCTAGAAACCATGTGTGTCCCCCCCCCCCCCCCCAGGCCCGGAGAGTCACCGTGAAGGTCCCCACCAAAGTTCCGCTGCACCAGTGCAGGCGAGTGTGGCTGGCCGGCTGAGAAGCCGCATCAGCCCTTTGGAGGAAGAAAGCCGCTCTCTGCATCCTCACGCCCGCTGTGAAAACGCTGAGCAGAATGCCACACTGCGGGCCTGCGCTGTCCTGAGATTTGCATTTATTCCAGAGAGATGGGTAGGGCAAGGCTGCTAACAACGGGGCGTTTTGGAGTTCATTAACTGATAGGGCCGCATCCATTGGAAGCGAGCGACTTACTTGCTGGCGCTGGACACGCAGGTCCTTCGTCCAGCTAAGAGCCTCCTCTGTGGCCCCGCCTTCAGAGGCGAGGCAGGTGGGCGGCCACAGACAGGCCTTTCTCAGGGGTGGCCTTTGCCTTAGGGATGCCCTCCCCCTTGAGGCGTGCCTAGCGCCTCTCGTCAGCGCCAGGCCCAAACGTTTCTCTCTGCAGGCTTTTAAACGGAGGGTTTCCCTCTTTCCTATCATTTGCAGATGTTTTATGGCCTGCTCCAAGCCCAACCGCTGTTTTCTCAGTATCAGTTTAGACCACTCGGTTGCATGTGCCGTTGGGCCCAGGCTTGCTTTTTTTACGAGCTGTTTTTATTAGCATGGTTTTTGTGTTGACTTGGATTGTTTTATTGGTATGACTTGTTTTTAATTGCTCTTAATGTTGTCGTGAGCCACGTGGAGAGGCAGCGTGGCGCAGTGGTTAAGAGCGGCGGCCTCTAATCTGGAAAACTGGGTTCGATTCTCCCGTTCCTCCTCCACATGAAGCCTGCTGGGTGACCTTGGGACAGTCACAGTTCACTCAGCACTCTCTTGGCCCCACAAGGTGACTGTTGTGGGGAGAGCCAGTGTGGTGTCATGTTTACGAGTGGCAGCCTCTAATCTGGAGAGTTGGGTTCGATCCCCCACTCCTCCTCCACCTGAAGCCTGCTGGGTGATCTTGGGCCAGTCACAGTTCTCCCAGACCTCTCTCAGCCCCAACTGCCTCACAAGGTGCCTGTTTTGGGGAGGAGAAGGGAAGGTGATTGTAAGCCGCTTTGAGACTCTTTAAGGTAGAGAAAAGTGGAGATATAAAAACCAACTCTTCTTCTTTCCTAAAATAACAAGTGGGTATTCTAAAAATGTCCAGGTTTTCAGACTTGGAGCGAATTCAGTGCCCTGGATTATATCCACACCCCATTGCAGACGGTCCTTGTTTTTTTTGGGGGGGCAGCAGATTCCCAGTGGCATTTCTTGTTCTGTTATTGTTGCTCTTCTGTTAATGTAGAGAAATCAAAGGTCAAGGAATCGGAGGGCAGCCTAGATAGCAGCAGCGAGGAAGAGGATGAGGAAGGCCAGTATGAAGTGGAGGATGACGGCGAAGAGGAGGAGGAGGAGGAGGAAGACTCGAGTGATTCAGACGGTAAGCAAGAGAAATTGTGGCTCTCTCTCAGAGACGTGTATGGTATGTTTGTGCTTAAAACTGCTGCAGGATCAGAAGAGGCAGCGCAGGGGCCGTGGCTTAGTGGCAGAGCCTCCGCTTGGCATGCAGAAGGGCCCAGGTTCAATCCCCGGCATCTCCAGTAAAGAATGAAGCAGGCAGGCGGTGATGGGGAAGACCTCCACCTGAGACACTGGAGAGCTGCTGCCAGTCTGAGTGGACAATACTGACCTTGTTGGACCCAGGGTCTGACTCAGTCTCAGGCAGCTTCATGCGTGTTCACGTGGGAGCCACACAGGGCCAGGGCTGGCCCGGGAGGATTTATAGCCAGCCCAGTTCAGAAGGGATGGATTCACTGCCTGAGGAATGGAGCGACGCTGCTGTGCCTTCTCTTCCGTCACTTTGCAGCACTGAGTGGGTACCTTGGCACTGACCGGAGAGTCAATGGATCAAGTGCCAGCCGATGCAAAGATGCCTTGGCACAGAGCACCACCACCACCACCCCCGACAGAGAGCAGATAAGCCGGGCAGGCGCACCATTTGCTTTTCGCCTTTTGCCAGGCTGAGTGAATTGTTCGTCTGCCCAGGTGTATTGCAGTAACAGGTGGCGTGAACTCTAGACCGTGGCCCACACACCTCCGCAGGACAGGTACCACTACAGTCATCAAAACAGCCTGCCAGTGAGTGAGCCAGTCTGCGAGGAGGGGGGAGTCTGAACCTGGGGACTTTTTGCAGTGGTTTTACCATCTGTGTTCCCCGGACAGTCTCTCTTCCCGACCCCATTCTTTAAGTCAGTGGCTTCTGTGTGTCCCCTCCTGCCCCACCGTGACAGCAGCCGCCTTTGGAAGGCCGGGGGGGGCAGCCTCCAAAGGCAGCCGTGAATGCTTAAGCTCTCCTTCCTCCCCCCCCCCCCCCAAGGCCTTGCCCGCGATCCCCCCCACGGAGATACAGTCA